TCAAGCCCAAGCCATCGGACCCTGCTGGCTAGCTACCTGTTGGAAGCTTATGGAGAAAAGTTATGGCCAATTCATCTTCAGTACCCAGTTGGCAGAGCAGTTGAACACTGGGCTGCTAACTGGAAAAGTTGGAGATTAGAACCCTTCCAATGACCCTGTGGGAGGGAGACCTGGGGAGCTATGTCCATAAGATAGACAGCCCAGAAAACCCTCTGGGGCAGATCTACCCTGTGACGTGGGCCACCTAATGGCCCCTAGTAACCGGAGCTGCAGGAAAGCCCAGGAAACAACCTGGCTGGAGGGTCCAGGAAATTCACGTATGACTGGGTAGCCCTGTGTCCAGCTGAAGTTATCAAGGAAGAGACCCAGGGAGGGGAACTCTTCTTGACCATGTGTCCTAGATAGGACACTCTCCAAGACTTTGTATGTAGAAAACCGGACTCTTCTGCATGCAGTGAAACAACATAATCATGTTGTTAAATTCGCCCTGGGCTCAGAATGAACCCGGGATAAAAGGAAACACCGAGAAGCGTGGGAAGCAATGAGGCTGTACGCACCAAGGGCAAGCTCCCTTTGACATGGAAAGGAAACAGGAAGTGCAGACAGGAAGTGCAGCCATCTTGCCCGCACTGAGGACCTTGGGTCTGGGCGGTTAAATACCGTGGTTCGGTGGTTAGGAGCCCTGGTGGTGCAGGGTTCAAGCACAAGGCTGGAAACAGAACCAACAGTGCTTTGGACCTCCGGCTGCTCCTTGGGAACAAGATGGCCTCGGCTGTTCCAGTAAAGATTCCCAACTCTGTCCTCTAGGGTCAGTGAGTCAGAATGGACTAATAGCAGCAGCCTTGGGTTTGGGGTTTGGTGAGATGATCCTGGTTTCTGCTCGGGTCGCTGTGTCCCCAGGGGCAGTGGATGTCACTGTTCTGCGCCTCAGTGTCTTGAGTTTATCATGACTGGCAATGGCGGTCCTTTGCACACGATAGCAAGCACTCAGTTCAGCGAAGATGTGCCGCCTGCAAGGAACTCCTGCGCTTGGCGCTGTCAGGTCGGTTCCCACACGTCAGCCACCCCACGGGCAACAAGAAGGAAACACCGCTGGTCCGTCGGCCTCCTCACCATTGTTGCTGTGCCGGAGCCCATCGTTCCAGCCACGGTGTCCATCCATCCCCAAGAGGGTCTTCCTCTTTTTCGCTGCTGGGCATGGGGTGAGCAGTGGGCTGTACCATCACCAAGGTCCTTTCACGTACTGTGGTCTGATGAAGACAAAGGGGTGCTGTGTGGTGTGAGGGACAGCCCTTAGAAGAGGACGTTTGAGCTCTTCTGTCTCCTGCCCTGACGATGCTTCCTGCTGGCTGCCCGGATGGTCCACGTGGCTCAGGCCCACTCTTTGCTCCTGACTCCTCCTTAGGGTCCCGTCGGTCAGGACTGGCTTCCGAGGGGATCTGGTGGGCTGGCTCAAACCCCAGGGAGAGAAATCAGCGCAGAAGGTGATGTCTTTTAGGATCTCCAAGGGACAATCCCGATAAGAGTATCGTAAAGGCCACAGAGTTATCGCTGGCGTGGTCTTAGGAGGAAGAGATTTGAAGAAAGTTGAAAACTGCCCAGCCGAGAAAAGGGCCAGGCAGTTGCCCGTCGGTCACTCTTGGATGATGTCACCCACTCACTGCCATCGAGTCGATGGTGACTTATCGTGAGCCTGTGCCTCTCGGTTTCCCGCCCGTGGTGAACTCTTGACCAGAGTTCAACCTCATCTTTCTTGAGGAGGGCGGCTGGTGGTTTTGAACTGCGGAACGTGCAGCTAGCCGCCCAACGGGTAACCAAGGGCCACTTTCTGAGAATTCTTTGGCACCTCTGATCCTGCACCTTCAGATTCCTTGTTGTTCCTCAATCTCGACAGACGTGTAAAGGAAACACGATTAGAATCCCTTAAGGATGCTGAACCGCCCTTTTTATACGGTGTCAATCCAAGAGCGCACGTGCATGCGTGCATGTGTGTGTGTGTGTGTGTGTGGGGTGGGCTCACGGGGAAGGGTGAGAGAGATGGAAACACTACCTTCAGAAATGTGTAGAACTAGATGGTGGCTACTTTGGGAAACAGGAACTTCACCTTCTCATCTTTTTGTTCAATAAAGGAGTCTATGAATGAGAAGCCCTGGTAGTACAGTGGTCACATGTTGTGCCGGTAACCACAAGGTCAGCAGTTTGAAACCACCAGCAGCTCTGTGGGAGAAAGAGGAGGCTTTCTGTTCCCGTAAGGAGTGATAGTCTCTGAAGCCCATAGGGGCAGTTCTACCCTGTCCTATAGGGTCACTGTGAGTCAGAATAGACTCATGGCCATTTAGAGAGATGAATTTGTAGTGAGACGTTTTGATTTGCAGTTATATAGCTCTAAAAAGATAATAATAATTTTAAAAATCACTACAGGACCCTGGGCCCACCTTTCAAAATAACAGGATTTTTAAAAATTGTTTAATATGACTTAACTATTCACTCATTTGGTCAAGTTTTCAGTATTTTTGTATGTAAATCCTTATATACTTTTTTAAAAATCAGGATCCAAATTAAGCCCTCATGGCACACGATCGCGGAAGACAAAGCGAGTGCATAGGGAAATGAGGTGAAGAGAGCAGATGGTCCCCAGCTGTCAAAAGATATAACACCTGGGGTCATAAAGGCTTGAAGTTAAACAAGCAGCCATCCAGCAGGGAAGCAAATACACCCACATGGAAGAAGCACGCCAGTCTGTGTGATCATGAGGTGTCCAGAGGATCAGGTATCAAGTATCAAAAGATCCCAAACAAACTCCCCTGCATGACCTTTTGAAACTATTAATCCACTTGCTATTTCTATAGGTTTACTTATCCTGGGTTTCATATACAGAAAAATGATAGGGTTTGGAGCGGAGACCCAAAGCCCATCTGTCAGGAATTGGACATCCCCTACAGAAGGGTTATGAGGAAGAGACGATTCAACCTAGCTAGTACAGCACCAACAAAACACACATCATTGCTCTGGTTCCTGAATGCTTCCTCCCCCCACTACCATGACCCAGTTCTACCTTACAAATCTGGCTAGAGTACACACATTGGTACAGATAGAGCTCTGGACACATGGAATTCAGGACAGATAACTCCCTCAGGAACAGTAGTGGGAGTACTGATATTATGAGGGTAGGGGGATGGTTGGGGAGGGGGGAGGGGGAGAGAGGGGGAACCCATTACAAGGTTGGATATATAGCCCCCTCCCAAGGGGATGAATAACAGAAATGTGGGTGAAGGGAGACAATGGACAGTGTTAAGAGACATAATAATAATAACAATATATAATTGATGAAGGATTTACTAGGGTTGGAGCTGAGGGAGGGAGGGGGCAGAAAGAGGAGCTTATACCAAGGGCTCAAGTAGAAAATGTTTAGGAAATGATGATGGCAACCTATGTACAAACATGTTTGATACAATTGATGTATGGCATGTTGTAAGAGCTGTGAGAGCCCCCAATAAAATTATTTTTTTAAAGAAAGATTGCCCTTGATCTGTTCATCTGGAACCCCACAATCATTTTATTCCCAGCTGTTCTGGCAGCTTTATTAAAAAAACCAGGTTGCTTCTCTTTCAAAAGAAACATTAAATTAAATGCATTAGCTTTTAGCAGTTTCACCGACATACCATTCGCACATCATGCATTTGAATAGTTCAGTCACATTCACAGGAGTCGTAATATTCCAGGACATTTCTTCTTCCTGGTCCCCATGGTTCTCAGCTCCCCTTTCCCGCCAGCCTCCCCTGTCATGGCCCTTTGAGACTGTTAATCCAGTTGCTGTCTCCGTAGGTTTACCGATCCTGGGTTTCACATACAGAAAAATGTCCAAAATCAAAACACAAAACAAGTGGCTCGACATCCACAACAACAAAATCAAAACAACACAGAACAAGTGGCCCAGCAGTATGAACCAGGGGAAACCTCAACTGAAAACAAAGCAGAAAGTATTACAAACTGGGATAAGAGGGAAATCAAATGACAAGGTGGCACCTTGTGACCTCGCTACACTGAGGTCACTCCAGGTGGGTTCTCATGATGAGAGCCCCATTCACAGAATGCATTTCTGTTCTCTGCTTTCTCCTAACCCCCTTGGATGGGCACGTTTAACCCTTTCAAGAGCCCCGCGAGGCCACACAGAGGAGTGAAGAGCGTGGCTTTGAAGCCACCTTGTCCCCTCACTTCCTCAGACTTAATTCCTCAACGCCGTCTGCCTCCATTTCCCTGTGGAACGATTTACAACCACCCCTCCCTGGGGAATGGGCTGCAGAATTTCCATTTGAGTCAATAAAGTCAAACATGTAAAAAACAAACAAACAAATCCGTGAAGAAAACTAAAAAACGCACAGGGGGAAGGTAATCACTGGCATTGATTGCTATCCCCATTGACAGATGAGAAGAGCAAGATTCTTAGAGAAGTAGCCCAGGTCCCCTTTCGGGAAGTAGCTCTGAGGGTTCATGGTGAGCAGTGTGCGCGCAGTCCTGCAGCTCCAGGGCCGGCTGTTACCTGAAACCAAAGGCTGCCTTGTTCTGCCCTTCAGCACAGGAAATTCCAAGGTATAGATCCACAGTGGCGCCTGGGGAGTCTGTCCCTGGAGGGGACAGGAGAGGGGCCCAGGAGCCCGAGTGGACCCAAGAGAAAGAAGAGGGGATTGAATATCTCAACCTGCCTGCCCGGGCCTCTGTGATTGTGGGGGTGGGTGGGGGTCGCCACCGCTTGGCCGCTTGGACGGCTTTGGCTATTTTGGGCCCCTCTGGGCATTTCTTTGGGCTTCCAGCCTTCACCCTGCCCTGGAAATGGTTCTGGCTGGGTAGCAGCCTCTGGAAGGTGTGGGCATCATTTGGGTCTGGCTTTGGGCGGGGCCAGGCGGAGGACACAGGCTTCTTTGTGCTACTGGCAAGAGGGAGGGCGGGCTGGAGGAAACTGGAGACCCCATTCCCTCTGGGTCTCTGGTTCACAGCGCACGATGGCCGGGTCTCCAGTGATCCTCAGTGTCATCGTCTTGCTGTCCACCTTCCCAGGGCCTAGCGTCGGAGGCCGCCCCATGCCCAAGCTGGCCGACCGGAAGCTGTGTGCGGACGAGGAATGCAGCTGTAAGTGGGGGCAGCGGGGTGGGTGGGGGAGCTGGTTTGCCAGTGGTGGAGGGTGTAGTAGGGGGACAATCACTCCCTTCTGATCCTTCCTCAGATCCTATCTCCATGGCTGTGGCCCTTCAGGATTATGTAGCCCCCGACTGCCGCTTCCTGACCATACACAGGGGCCAGGTGGTCTACGTCTTCTCCAAGCTGAAAGGCAGAGGGCGACTCTTCTGGGGAGGCAGCGTGAGTCTTGGGAGAAGGGAGGAGGGGCAGGCCGGGGGTTGGCAGAGTGTACCTCCGTTTTTTCCACCTGAAAGGGAACTTGGAAGACGTGAACCCAGACCGACCTAGACATTTGGGGGCCAATATTGTGACCTGCTTTGGTCTCACTTTGGTCTGCAATTAATCACAGGACACCGCCTCCCAGGCCAGGCTCTGGTCTCGCCCCCAAAGATACAGCTGCGAACAATCCCTTTTATTCTAGTGGAGGGGTGGGCAAGAGGCAAGTTGAGAATAAAGTGATTGAATGGCCACTGTAGGAGCTTCGGTGGCACTGTGAGTTAGGGACTGGGCTGCTCACTACAAACTTGGCCAATCAAATCCACCAGCCAGCTGCTCTGCAGAGTAAGTTGAGTCTGTCTGCTTTTATGAACATTCAGTTTCCGAAAGCCTACACAGGGTCGCTACGAGGTGGCATAAGAGGAGCCCTGGCAGTGTAGTGGTTCTGCATTGGGATGCCATCCGAGTGGTCGGGCGGTTCGAGACCACCAACAGTTCCACTGAAGAAAGATTAGGCTTTCTACTCCTATCGACGGTAACAGTCTGAGAAACCCACAGGGGGTCGATATGAGCCAGCGTTGACTCGATGGCAGTGACTGACCGAGTGGTGAGATGCTTGCTTATAGGGCTGGTGGCATAGTCGTTACCCGTTGGGCTGCACTCTGAAAGGTCAGTTTAAAACCACCAGCTGCTCCCTCAAGTCCGTAACTGTACTCCTGGAAAGACTTACGGTGTCAGAACCCCACAGGGACAGTTCTGCCGTGCCCTGGAGGGCTGCTATAACTCAGCATCCACTCGATGGCAGTGAGAAGGGGAGTGATCAGGTGATATTGACTAGCTGGCTGTGGGTTTGGTTTTGATTGGGGGGGGGCACTCTGTATCAGGAAAACAGGGAAGTGGGTAGGTGACATTATTTTTTATTGCAATACAATGTTTCTTGATCGATGTTTTCACCCGGGGATTCTTAGGGTAGGTGACCTGTAAGCTGAGCTAGGGATGACAAGCCAGCCAGGATCAGAGGGCAGCGATGATGCAGTGGCCATCGGCAGAAGTCACCCTGCCATCCTCCCGGAGCCCAACTTTGAATGCCTCTCCCTCAGGTTCAAGGAGATTACTATGGAGACACGGCGGCCCGCCTGGGCTATTTCCCCAGCAGCGTCGTCCGCGAGGACCAGACTCTGAAACCTGGCAAAGTGGACGTGAAGACTGATGTGAGTGCCGGCGGGGGGGTGGGGGGGTGGTTGAGGGGTGGCGGAGGGCTGTGTGTGGAAATGCCCTCCCCTTTCCCGAGGGACCTTTGCATTGCCAGGGTAAGTGGCCGTCTAGCTCTGTGTAGGGGCAGATTCTTTCCCTGCCTTGCTTTTTGCACCTGTAAAGCGGAGCGAAGATTCTAAGGCCCGTTCGGGTAGGAGGTACAAAGAGAACAGCTCTCTAGACTGATTGACAAGAGCCCCGTTGGCACAGTGGGGAGCTACTGGTTGGGTCGCTCGTTGCAACGTCAGCAGTTTGAACCACCAGCCACTTTGCATGAGAACGATGAAACTTTCTACTCTTTTTTTTTTTAACATTTTATTAGGGGCGCATACAACTGTTATCGCAATCCATACACACATCAATTGTGTAAAACGCATTTGTACATCATTCTCAAAACATTTTCTCTCCACTTAAACCCCTGACATT